CATAATAAGGTTTTGTTATCGCTGTCCAACGCACTGTATCTATAAAAAAAAAATCACACAGCAAGGAAATTCAATGTTATCCATAAACTTACTTGCTACAGATCGTCTTTGATATGATTTTAATGATCTCTTACGTATTGATGAAATTGCTCGTGTACATATGATCTGGGTGTTTTTGAGGACATTTTTGTAATTTTTTACCTATTTTCACAGCCTCTAAGAATTGTTTTTTAAGTATATTTTTGGTTGGATCCTCTAAATTTTCATCCCATTCATTAAATTTACTCGTTATATTAGAGGCTGTAGATCGGGTGTTTTTTTTGGATCGAGGTCCATACATTGTTTAGCTAACTCGACGTAGCAATTAGGTCCAAATTCAAGCTGCAACCTAAAAAATACGTGCCGCAAGATCATTATCAAATAAAAATCCATCAAAAGGCCTTCGACCGTTTGATACTTCGCACATGATGACTCCAAAAGCATAGATATTTGCTGCACCGGTGAACGGGTTCCTGGTGCAATATAAGGTAAACCGCCATAAATCCATTCAGCTTCACTTTCATATGTGATGAAAGACCTAAATCTGAAATAAATGTGCTGCTATCTCATTTTGTAAAATGCTACCACTATATAAATCTTTATGAGCGTATCCAAGGGAATGGATTATAGAGATCTGAAATTATGCATTCTAATAATTTTAACTTTCTTTTCCAATCCATTCGGGTTACCCTATAAAGATTTCTGCCTAAGGATCCCATGCTAGCGTATTCCAAAATAAGGGTATTTTTCCGTTATCATCTTTGGTATTCCATAACATTTCAAAAATGATTGAATTCATTCTTAATTTGCAATATATTTTTGCAATTATTTAATTCAAGTATTTGAACGCGATCTAAGTTTGAGTACTAACTGCAAATCCACTTCTTTCAAATGTTATCAATCTCAACGTTTTTAGATGCACATTCATATACATCTAACACTAAATTGTTCACTTTATTTATATACTTATAATATTTAACAAACTAGTTAATATACCGAAAAATTGATTGCTACATAAATATTACTACGTATTAAATCAATATTGTAATAGAGTAGTAAGGTAATTTTGTTTTATTGGTTTAAAAAGTAAGTTATAATCTGTTAAAAGAAAGTAAAATATTGAAGCAATAATAGATAAACTAATCACAATTTGTTTGATGGTTATAAAAATTTATTTAAAGCATAATTTAATAAAGAATTTAATCATTTTTTGCAGGTGCATTGTGACGCACCTATAAGATCTATGGAGCTAGCAATGCCAGTCTAAAAAATTTCGCTCATTATGTGATCCATTAAAAAAAATAGTTTAGAGTTAGGGTCCTATCAGTAAGGTGGTGTTTGGTTTAAAAGGCTATAATTATTTTAAAAATTTTCTGAGGAAAACTTTTTGTTAGTACGCAGAAGGCACTTTCATAGCCAAAATTTTAAGATATAAGCGTTTTGTTGGTGGTTTGTTTTTTTTGCTCTTACACCTGATCTCGAAATCTGGTGGCAAAGCGAGCATGATTGAAAGTCGTTTTGATTGGCTACAGTGGTACAAATGTAATGTCGATTGTTGCATAATTATTTATATTAGTTTTAAAGTACCCCTCTATATGAAAATGTAATCGCTCATATGACAAGTCGCTAAGTATGACATCTACTGTCGAATAATTTTCAGAATACATTTGTCTTTCGCTTTACTAGTAGCTGATAGATTTAATCGGATATAATCAGAATCCCGGGACTTATGCTATTACTATATTTCTTAATAAACGTAATAGTATAGTATATAGCTAATAGTGAACTAGGTTTCTAGTTTTTTGGAGGTTTTTTTTTGAAGAAGTTACTCATGCGACTAATATATTGAAACTTGCATACGCACTGTCAAGACCAAAGTAAAGAGATCTGAAATTTAAAACTTGTATATGTGGGAAAATGTATTTTACTATAAGGATGGTATACAGTATAAACTATAAGTATAAAAAAAAAGCATTATATAGTAATTGAAATTTGTTGAGAGCATTAATTCTTATAGCTAAACTTGAATTCTGTTGTATTGTCATAGGAAATATTATCATAGAACACAAACACGGACAGTGGACAGTCCAGAATGGGATGTCCTAGACATGTCCATCAATATTTTTTTGTCTTGGTCAATTAAAATTATAATAAGAACAACCGTGTTAGCAACTATCATGGATATGGAACATTGTCCAGAACATGGGAACTGTCAGGGACTGTTCAGGACTGTCCGCGTCTACACAATTTTAATAAAACAATGTTCGCATACAACACTGATCATAGGCACAAAGGCTTAGAGGTTTAGTTCTTTTTTTTTTAATACAACTAATAATTATTTTTTTTTGTTAAAACGTTATAGTAATTAGATATATTAAATAAGATCAATAAATAAAAATTAACTTGGGTAAATGGGCTATAGCAAGTAAAAATTAAATTAGATAGATAGATAAAAAAGAAAGAGTAAATTAGAATTATTAGAGGTTCGAATAATAAACTTATAAATAAAGTTATGTTTTTTATTTTTTCAAAATCATAATTTGAAATATAAATTATATTAATAAATATTTATTATTTAATATTTTAGTTAGAATTCCGAACCATTATCCATTTATCTATCGGATATCTAGGATCTAAATTTATTCAGATATCCGTTTTACTATTGATATCCGGATAATTATCCGAATATTTGCCGGATTATCTGGATATCAATAGTAAATGGATATCCAGATAAATTCAGATACGGATAAATGGATGGAGGATTATCCGGATTGGAACTCTAATTTTAGTAATTGTTAATTCGAACTAAAGATATTGTTGATTCGCATTATCTATCAATTTTTATTCAGAGATTAGTCAAAATAATAATGATGAAGCTCTAAAATTGGTTAAGGTAATTTCACTTACATTTTTATTTATCTAATTCAGTTCGCTCACTATTTTGACACGTGAGCTGACGTAGTCAGCGTTAGTGTTATTATCGCGAGGATTGTCCTGATCTAGTGCTCCGAACGGGTCGGGTCGGGTTGAAAACTTTCGGGTTAGAGCTTCAACCCGACCCGAACCCGACCCGAACCGAACCCGAACCGAACCGACCCGAAATTTTAAGGCTAATATATTTAAAAAATGAATTCAGTCGTCCATTTTGCTCTTAAAATTCATGTAATGATGACTATCGAAGTTGGCTAATCAAATCCAAACTCAATATGCTTTATAACTACAGTAAAAGTCATGCATTACATACTAGAGTAAATGAAAAATTTTATTTTTATTCTATGATTCATAGAATTATAGCTGTTTTTATAAATTCTGGGACATTGATAAAAATTGATTGGCTAAATTCGATAAGTTTTTGAATTCAGTGTTATCGAATTACTGTAATGCTGAAAATCCAATTCTGATAACACCGAATCCAAAAACCTATCAAATTCGGCAGATCAAATTTTTATCTGTTGTTCCAGAATTTATGAGAACAGCTGTAAAAAAAAATTTATTGATTTTGCCCTACAAAATTTCACGGCAGATTCTTGATTTTGATTGGCTAAGAGCACTGAGTAAAATATTTGGTCAGAATTACTCAGAATTTTATTGTTCCTGAACAAATTTTACCATAATGCGAGATTATATTCCAAAATTTCTATTTTTGTAATGAAAAAAAATCAATATTACAATCGAAAATTAGTAAATTATATAATGTGGGCAAAATTTTGCGATCTGCGGCTGTTAACCAATAAAAATCGAGGATCTACCGTGACAATTTTGTTTAAAGAAATCTGATTGGTGGTTTTATTTAAACTATTATTTAAGAATATTTATGTAGTTGCTATTATAAACATATGTACTTGCTATTAGAACCCCCAAAAAACATATTAAATGTTTATTTCAAGCTTCTCTAATTTGGATAATTTCGGGTCGGGTCGGGTCGGGTCAGGTTCAGTTCGGGTTAATGTTCAACCCGAAACTGATCCAAACCTGACCCGAAATTTTCAGATCAGATTTTTCTAACCCGAACCCGACCTGACCTGAAATTTCGGGTCAGTTTTCGGATTGACCCAACCCGATTTGGAGCACTATCCTGATCAAAGAGTTGCATGAATTTAGTAATTGATGTTAAGGGATGATTGAAATGAGAATTTAAGGAAACAAGAATAAGGAATGATTGAAATGAGAATTTAAGGTAATGGAAAAAGAGATGATCAGTAGTGCTTATTTCTTTCGCTGCCTGATTATCATTATCTGACTCTGTCGTTTTTAGTCCCTACCCTCCCTCCAATGAACTTACAAATATAGATGTATATTACCAATTATTATAAAAGTCGCTGCACCAAAGCGTGAGCACTTCTCTACTGCGGTGAATCTTGCATTTGTCCAGTTCTCAGTTACAATTTATAGTAATGTTAAGTTGTGAGATAATAGGGTCACTGCACTAAAGCATGACGCATTGCTACTACAGTGAAATTTACATTTACACAGTTTTCAGTTACAATTAATTATCTATATAAATATATATTTACCATTTGTAAGTTTATTTTGAAAATGAAGTCTCTATGCTAAAGCAATCATTATTATCTTCCAAATTTAACATCACACCACGACTATGTATTCAATACTCTCTATGCTTTCGTCACGTGACTTGCGTGACCTGCGGCGAGAGCACTACTCCCATAATGTTATTCCATATATATAAGATATTAATAAAGTAATCCGAGCGAGAATAATGCTTATAAGTCCAATTCTCTATTATATACAATTTTTAACTAATTAATTATAGCGCTAAAAAAATTATCATAAATAAAAAAAAAAATGAAAAAAAGACAAATTCTTCGTAACTATTGTATACTATACATCTAAGTTTAATCATAATTATTACTCACAATTAATTTCAATTATCATACAATATACTTAAAAATTCATATACTATCTTTATAGTAAAGTATATTTTCCTACATATCATACAAGTTTTAAATTTCAGATCTCTTCAATTTGACATATGTTGTCTTAACTACAAGTCTCAATATATTAACGCTTTGAGTAACTTCTTCAAAAAAAACCAAAAAAAAACCAAAAAAAAACAAGAAACTACAAGCCTAGTTAACTATTAGCTATATACTATACTATTACATTTATTAAGAAATATAGTACTAGCATAAGTACACCGGGAATCTGATTATATCTGATTAAATCTACCAGCTGCTAGTAAAGTGAAAGACAGATAGATGTATTCTGAAAATTATTTGACCGTGGATGTCATCCTTAACGACTTGTCATATGAGCGATTACATTTCATATAGATGATGCTTTAAAACCAATATAAACAATTGACATTACATTTGTACTACTGTAGCCAATCAAAACGATTTTCCATCATGCTGGCTTGTTTTGAATTTTCTTGATTGACACCTGATCTTATGATCTAATTGGTTGATCAGGGGTGCGTTACAACGCACACGTGTTAAATTATTATAAAAACAACTATTAGCTGATAAGCGTTTTTTAAGAACTTTATTAATTAATTTATATAATTTTTATCATATAATACAGAACTTAGTAAATTTAGCTACAGTTTAATACTAGAGTAACTTTTAAAAATCTCTGCCAATAAAGAATGATAGATATTCGTTTATGATTGGCCATTATTTTATATTAACAAAGTATCATTGTACAGGTTTTTAACTCTCATATAAAAGTTTGGCTTAAGTGGTTCATCAACTTTATTAGAAGCGATCTTGACAATATTGATCCATGATATTATATTATTATTTTTATCTTTTAAAGAGTAATAACTAATAAAATAAAATTATTATTATTATTAATTTGCTTACGTAGAAATACAGAATTCCCTGCTTCTCTCCGGCTGATAAAAAATCCGAAATTGTCAATATAAAAGATGCCGGTATGCACTTTAAAGTTTTTGCACATCATTCAGGACTATTAAAAGATTTGGTTACAATTATGTTTAGGATAAATCAATTATATTCTGTGAGGTATAAAAATATATAAAAATTTATTAATATATATATTTGTATATAAACATATCTATTCTCTTAAAATGATCTAATGTTGTTGTGATATTAATAAATAAATACAAATTTATCAAGTTATGAATATTGCAAAATTTCGATTGAGGTGACAATAATATAATAAAATTTTATACAGGAAGAAATTCTGCAAACAACGCACATTTAAAATAAAATAAAGAGCATATAATGTGACCGTGGATTACGTGAAATTTGAAATGAAATAACGATCAGGTGTAAGGATCTCTTGCAGTGTAGGTGATCATTCTATATAGCAGTAATCAATTGATTAATAGATGTGCCATCTATACTGTAAGAGTTCCTGGAAATTTTCAAAATGTTCTAAAATATAGTTCCGATTATGGTAAGTTACTGTCACATGCTACAGTATTTAGCTCTTTTAATTTTTCTCTAGCATCGTTATTATTTCTCGAAGCTGCTAGATTTAAATACTTTAATGCCATTTGTTTATCCTTTTGTAAATAATAGATACCAAGATTATACTGAGCTTTATCATAACCATTATTAGCTGAGAGTGTTAGATAATTAATCATTTCTTCACTTATTTCCGAATGATTTTCTTTTTCTGATTGCAAAGCGTATGCATAGCGAAATTGTGCATGTTTGTTACCATCGTCAGCAGCTTCTTTAAAAAGTTCTCTGGCCTGTTTATGATCTTTTGGAACATAATGTCCTTCCCATAAATAGTAACCTTTCCAATACTTTGCGAGTGGACAATTAAGCTTGGCGTTCTCATCAAAACACTTCCATGCTTCTTTATATTTACCTTCATTGTGAAGGTTTAATCCTTCTTCAACTCGCATTACTAAATCCATTGGCCTAATAGTTTTATCTTCACTTTTTGGTATTGAAGAAACATGATTGATACTAGAACTTTCTATTTCTTCTGATTCTGTAGCATTATCTTGTTTAAGTCCTAAACAATTGCTAGGGGAATGATCGCTAGGGGTTGTGCATTCAGATGCTAAATCTTTAAACGACAAAGACAATTCTATAAAATCTATTCGCTTGATTGGTGACTTTTCCCATGCTATTTAATTAAAATTAAAATTAAAATTATAAAACGCTTAATCAAATATCAAATATGCATTTGACATATATATACCTTCTGAAATAATTTCTATTAATTTCAATACAATTTTTTCCTCATTCTTATTTTTAATGTTTTTGATTTCATCAAAGTTTAGTGTTTCTCGATTGCCGCTTAATACATGTTTTTTTATTTCTCCAGGACTCATCCTTTCATAAGGAATTTTCTCATGACAAAGCTCCCATATTAACATTCCAAAACTATTTAAAAAATATTTTTTAATACTGTATATTTTAAAGTACAAGATTGAACAATTATTATAAACTATTATACCTGAATATTTCACAATTAACGGTGTATTCTTGTTTTACTTTAGAAAAAACGCATTCGATTTTTTCAGGAGCCATCCAATTTATAACATTATTTAATGATTCTTCCATGCTTACAGACGGAGCATCTTTGCTACGAGAATAATCAAAATTCGTAAGTTTCGCCTCCATGTTTTTAGTTATCTATTGAGAATTGTAGAGGATTAAAAAGTGAGAATATAAAAATAGATTGATGATTAATAAATAACTAAAATATAACACTTATATACCATCACATTTTCACATCTGACATCATGATGAAAAATATCAACATTTTTTAAAAAGATAAGACCATTACAAATATCCTGCAAAATTTGAACTTTTTTTGGCCATGAAATATCATATGTGATGTAAAAATCTTTTAAGCTTCCATATTCCGCCCATTCGAAAACCATTACATCTTCATCGTTTATATTTGAGATACCATAAAAATGAATAATGTTTTGGGGATAGCTTAGCTTTGTTAAGATTGATAATTTACGAAACAGACTATGACCTTTGATAGGTTTACATGCTACTTCTGCTACTTCAGTATCTTTTTTGTATAACTTTTTAAAAACAGTATTACTAGTTTTTTTTTCTATAATGGCAGGATCACTTAAGTCTTTTGAATCAATCATTGTCAGTTGATGATTTTGAATACAAGATATTTCTTGTATTGTTATGTTGTCAGTACTCTTTTTATTATTTTTAAGAAACTATAAAATTGAAAATTAGCATAAGTATTATATAAGTCAATATATATTAAATATAATAAATTACATAATAACATATATACCTTATCAAGATTTTCAAATTCTTTTATAATTCTATTCATATCAATCATGTGTTGAACTGCATTCGTTACTGTAATAGTAGTGTTCAAATCACCCATGTAACCATCATAATCTTTCATTAACCTATCAAATCTTTTTCTCACGTTATTAGCGTTCCAATATTTTTTAATTCCCTTAAATTTGGTCACTTCTTCCGCAAAACTCTTGGCTTGATTCAATGTATTCCTGAACCTATGAGTGGCAAGATAGAATTCTCTTTCTGAAAACATTGATTTATTTTTACCACTTTCAGAAAATATTTGACATGTATATTCAGTACATGTCGTATTTTCATAAATTTCAACTGTTTCTTGAACTATAATCTTGATGATAGTCTCGTGCTTTTCACTTCTAGATAATATATCTAAAAAATATTCCGCAGTCTTAGTTCGATCAATTAATGCTTTGGCAATATTTTGGTTGCATTGTGCATTTTCATAAATGTTCGTTAAGTCTTGAACTATAACCTTTGTTAGTGCAACTAGACCGATAGCAGGTGCAATTGCCATTGTTTATGTTTTGATAATGAGTCGGCTTATTTACTAGGTAAAGGCTTAAAAAATATTGCTGTATTTATAATGTTTGCGGAATATTATAAATTTTCCGTGAAATTTTGTACTCATATTTTATTATTCTATGATTATTACTTAATTTAGAAATTTTAATACATTCGCCGGAGTTTCAAAATTATTGCGTACGTACAAATTCGAAATGAATTTTGCGCCGGGTTTGTGGCGCAAACTTGAAGTTACCAAAATTCTTTTATCGATGTTGGGTCAACGTTTATATGATGATTAAACGTTAACAATTAAATAGTAAAATTGTCCAAGGAAAACTTTTAGTTAGAGCACTAAAGGTAGTTTTTTTTGCAGATTTTTGAATAATATCCAATTCTTGACAAACAGACGTTTTCTTGAATCTTCCAGTTCGTGTTACGTTACTTTTGAACTTGGCACAGAGTATATGCTATTTAATATAGTATGATGTAGCTAATGTAATATGACGTACTTAATTACCGATTTTAGCTATTGGTCGTGACTATCACTAATCTATTTGTTAGTTTGTACAAAAGTTAATCGGACTTTCTAACCGTTATTACCAATCGGTTTGTGTAGAACTAGACTATGGAAATCAAATAATACGTAATCATTAATGAAATAATGGTGGATTATGAAACATCATGAGTCATTATTATCAAAAAAAAGAATCGAAAAAATAAACAGGGCTAAAAAAAATAAAGAAACAGGAAATAAATAAGGAAAACAAACAAAAAAGAAAAATAAATGAATAAAAAACAAAATAAAAAAAAACAAATGAAAAAATGAAAAAAGGCAAAAGAAAAAACAAGAAGAAAAATAATTCACATCATAGTTCAAACATGGCCTCGCGATTTTTAGTATTAGTGATAATGTTTCGGAATCTATGTTGATTCGGAATTAACATGTGACATTTGTGAATCATAAAATGTTATTGAAAATGGGCGAAACGGCAAGTCAGTCGCTCCACGATCCAAATTCGCGTGTAACCTACGGTTGGTTTAGTCGGAAAGAGGCGCTTAGATTTGGTCGATGGCTTGGGGCCGTAGGTAAGTATTTCTTCTTTACTCGTCTTGGGTTTTCCTTCTCTTGAACTTTCTACTAACGTTATTCTCAATTACCTCACTACTTCAGGTAATTGAACAACATGTACAACCTCAACTATCCTCAATCCTTCGGGACAATTGGACGGTATAACCACGGTACTTTAGGATACAACAGCCGGACGGAAAAGTAAGAATATTATGGATTAGAACAGATAATTGCAAGAATCGGGGTTTTATGATAGGGTTTTAGCGATTAGTTAATGTAGTAAAGGAGACGTTTATGTATTTATTGTTATGTAAGGGGCCAGTTATTATTTTTAATAAAGCGAAGTTCGGGTCTCTTCTTTCCTCTAGGCCTTCACGGCCTTTATTTATCTTAAAATTCTTTATTTATATTTGACATTCTACGTCTACTATGACTGCTAATTCTATTACTTCGTTCCCAACTCCTAATTACCCGACATGGCCTTCGTGTCCTACGTAGCCGAAATAGCTTGAGTGGGCCGGGTTACCCTAATTTGGGGTAGCCGTAGTCCTGTGCCACGTGACTTCTCCGGATTACAAAACCTCTGTAGCTCCGGAGAGTCTACGGTGTGAGTCGTAGGACTGTGATCCCGGAAGGAGGTGATCGAAGTGACACAGGACGGGTATGTTGATCACCTACCTGAAATAGGGTTACCGGTGTGAGCCGCGAAACGTGATCTCGGGAGCACGTGGAAGGAGGTGGTCGATGTGGCGCAGTAACAATCAACGGCT